ATACATATATATATATATATATTATTTATTTATTTATTTATTTATTTATTTTTATTTTATTTTTATTTTATTTATTTATTTATTTTTTTTGCGGTTTTAAAGTAGCATTTAGGGAGAGAAGCAGGATTGAGGCGTCTGTGATTGCGGCAAATATTGCCAAAATAATTCTAGAAACTTCGCATGGAAAACCAAAAAATTTTGAAATTTGTTATAACTATTACACTATTAGTTAATATTAGAAAGTATAAATATAACGGGAAAAAAAAACATAAGATTTATGTTTAAATAAACTCCTGAGAGAGAGGGGGTTATCTATGATTTAAAATTTTAAAGTACACATATGTAAATCTTTCTAAAATATTCACATCTTAACATAAATATATCATAATATTTTGATAGATTATTTATCAAATTAGATATCTCAACATATGCTACATATTTGGCAACAAATAATATTTATTTTCAATTATATAAAATATAAATCAAGAAAAAATAAAACATATTACCATAAAAAGAATACGTTGCGACGATTAAGGTTCATTCAATTTCAGCGTAATTAATTAAGAGAGAAAAAAAAAATTGAGTTCATTCTTGCCATAAATAATCGTTTTAAGAAGCTTATAATAGAAATATGCCCTCTCATTGTAGTAAAATTATTGCGTCCGCACTCAGTGTAGTGGGCCAATACAAACTCTTCTTTTACCAAAAAGTGTATGTCAGTGGGCCCACTTTTAATTTTTTTTTTTAATTTCATTGGACGGCGCACGCGACGCAATAATCCCTCCTCATCGCATGAATTGGTCCACTACAAGTTTTGTCTCCGCTAGTTCTTCCAACTTCCGAGCAGCAAAATTTAAATACCCCGCATCAACATTGAATGATTGCTCCTCCTCCTCCTCCTCCTTAGGTCTTCTTCTTTTTCTCCTTGATCCTCTTTTTCAATGCAACTTCTTCGTCAATTTCTTCATCATGGTCCGATCTTCCCATTGACATATTGCTAACAATCAAAGATAAATTAGAGCTTCATCATCGCTCTGATCTCATCTCCTTTCGCACAGTCTGCTCTCATTAGTGTTCTATCATTCCTCTGTTTGAGAAATTGGTGGCGGAATCAATAATTTTGTGTTTTTAGTGGTAAGTTTTTTTAATTTTGATTATCAATAATTTTTCCATGGTTTGAGAAATTCATTTTAGAGAGTTGAGTATTGATACTGAATATATTTATCAATGTTACACCCGATGTACTTATTCTAATGCAGTATATTTGTCGCATATACGAATATTTTTGACAGAAAAGTTATATAACGAAAAGCGGTTTCCTTATATGGTCATACATATAAGATGATACAGTGGGTCCCACTGTCATACAGCCGCGGCTGTGATCGGAGAGTTGTGCGCTGTCCGCATGCAACAATCGCTCAAACCTTACAAAAAATTACTTTATTATAATATTTTTTTTGGAAAATATAATTAATATGGTCAAGAAAAACAAAAAAAATTATAAAAACTAATAATAGTAAACTGTGATGAATTACGTGAAGACTCAAATTGATGCACGCGTAAATATCATGTAAAGATACTATTATTAGTATTATTTTTTTATATTCCAGAAATAATAATAATAATAATATCTTTAACAATCGCATAAAAAAATCATCGGACAAGTTTTAGTTATTAAATTTATTTAAAACTAGTTTAATAATGTAAATTCAATGATTAAAAAAAAACCTATCATAATTAGATTTAAATCAGAATGTTCTAATCCAAATTTCCTTGAAAGAAAAAACTTATTGAAAATTTGTTTGGTGAATTTTGAGATGTAAAAACTACCTTTCTCATGCGGCGACCTGGATAAAGTGTAAGAATGAGATGTTTAGAATTTAATGTGGCTGGTGACAATAAAAACAAATCTATTTTCTTACTTCTTTCGAGTGCATAAAGAACATTGGCTAACATAGAGTTTGTTCTTTAAAGTAACTGGATTGTCAGTGTGGTATTCTAGCATGTCACCCTAAAGTCTCCTCCAAATCTCCAACTGACCCAATCTTAGATTTTAGGTATGAAACCCTGAATCAATTTGGTAGAAATCTATTTTATCACCCTAGCAGCACCAATTTGCGCCCATAAATAAATATTTTCCTAACATTGCATTGAAACGTTGTACTTATCGATAACCCAGAAATTCAATGGGGGTACCACTGAGTAGAGAATTACACCGCCCTTCTGGATCATAATGCAATCACAACAAATTTTACATCACAATAGGTTTAATTGAAATGTAAAATGTAAATGAAGTTCAAATGAAATACTATCGCATTTATGAAATAAGAGCATTTCTTCTTAAGCATTCATCCAATTCATTGCAGAAAAAAAAAAGTAAAATGAAGATAATTACATAAGCAGTAGCAGAATTAATAGAATCATGTAATAATATATTTGTACCAACAAGAAACATATGTCTACCTACCCTCCTTCCGAGCGTATAGGTATGTTTAATATTCAATTAAGTTTACACAACTAGCAGAGATGCGAAGGTGGGTAAAAAACTTCACAACTCATGGTAAGGACCCTATTCACTTACACCAATTATCACCTAGAAGGTCTTAATAGAAACAGCTGATGAAATATATTTGTTTTAAAAATTACACCGCCGCCGAAACTAATTCACTATAGCCAACCGAAAAATATGAGTATAATATAATTGTAAAGTCACCGTTCTTCTGATTCTTAGTTTAACTTACAACAGAAGGATTGATGTGCCTACTGCAAATATTGTCAAAATAATTCTAAAAAATTTGCATGGAAAAGCAATAAAATTTGAAACTTTTTAGAACCATTACACTTTTTTTTTTTACTTAAATAATATAATGATGATTCGTTTTTTTACAATTACACAATCATATATTTTGTCCATAAAAAAAAATAATACGGGAAGAAATTTACCCCGAACAAAGCCTTAACCAATTAATTTGATTGGGTCCCTAAAATCAAATTATTATTAAATCCACAACTTAATTTCAAGCCAAATTCCATAAATTGAAGCCGATTTAACGCACATAATTGGATAAACTCGAAATTGGAATGTTCACACCCCACTAATTGATATGTAATACTTTCGACATGCCAACAGACCTAATTACATCTCATACTCTGCTCTCATCTTCGATACCCACTAATCCTCCATCAAGCTTCCTGAAATAAAAATAATAAGTATAAAGTTATATTGTGAAAACAAGAACATGAAAAACAATAGACCTAATTACATACATACTTATACTTATAATATTTATATATATATATATATATATATATATATATATATAAATATATATATATATAACACAATTGATATTTATATTTATAACACCTTGCTATCAAAAAGCTATGCATAAAAAGGTGTATTTTCCTTTTAAAACAAAGTAATAGTGCAGTTTTTATGTGGTATCCTAGATTTGAGTGTTATGTATGCATGCATGAAAGTTTAGGTGTTAGATATCTAAATAAATTAAAATTGTGAGGTGTGTATGTAAATGCAGTGATGTCAAGAAAAAAAAAATGATAGATAATCTGATGCACTGTTCTGAAGCATGCAATCATGTGGCGATAAAGAAAAATTGAGCATATAAAATAAAATAGTGAAAAACAAACCTGGGAGGATAAACCCTTTCATCCCATAAGGCCTTCTCCAGCCTCACTTCAAAAGGTGTGGCATGCCAACTAACTCTTTGATCCTGGAATTAATGCACATATTTAGCGATTATCACTTTGATGCTTTTAAGCCTACACATAAAAAATATGTATTTCACTTTTAAAAAGTGGTAATAGTGTTATTTTTTGATTTGATATGAAAGATTTCAGTGTTGTGTGTGTAAATATTAAAGTTTAGGTGTGAGATATGCAAATACATGAGAATGGTGTGCTGTGTAAGTAAATGCCCCAAAAATATGATATTTGAATGAAAGGTTTAATAGACCTCCTTATACTTCGTCGTCGAATTTGGAATCCCATTACCATCCCATTGTTTCGGAGAGATGCGTGAAAGCTCCTCATCGTTCGAACTAGCTGCAGCAGCGATGATAATCGGCCCATCTTCGTCGGGACTTTTATCAGAATGAGAAGGTTCAATCATGTTCTTCTTCCCATCCTTCGGCAATGGAGGTCTCAACTCCTTGTCTAGGGAAGAAGGTTGAGCCTTTTGTGTCTTCTCCCTGTCTTCACATAGAGCATATGAACTTTGAGAGAGTGCTGGAACAGGATAAACAAATTGAGCTCTGATCCTGTGGTTGAACTTCTCCCACTTCGGCGGATATATGGTTCCTGGTGTTTGCATCTCATCCAATAAGTTCAGTGGAGTAGGATAAGGTGACTCAGAACCATGTGGTTGTATCCCATCTTCAGTTTGAGGGGATATATCTAAGCCAGAAGAATTTATTTTCCCAGCTACAGAATGATTCAACTCTTCGAACCTTACTATCTTCCTCATCTCATCATTATTTTCCTCATATTTGCAGCTAAATAACAAAGAAAAATAAATATAAAATTTAATTGATCATAAACAGTGTAATTTTAATTTTTTTTAGCAAGGATTGAGGAGTTCTACCTTTCGAGTGTATCTTCTTTGAAAATTAAGGTTTCGGGATCCTTTGCAGGAAGATTATCAGTTTTTTCAAGCTGTTGGTCCCAGTTGATCTTTATAGAGTGTGGATCAGAAGCTGCAGATTGCTGAACTGATGCTTGGCGGATTTCGATTGGAGTTTCTAGTATAGCACCACAAGTTTTGAGGAATTTTGCCTGTAAAAATGTCATGCAGAGATTGTTGTCAATAAATAAATTCGCCGAGGAAACAACCCTTAAATTTTATATTTATGACAAATAATCACTCAGCAAACAAATGAAACGACAACAACTTCAAAATAATTGTCATTACTAAAGCTACACATACATAAAACACTGATAATGCTTCATCAATTTCAAAACAGTTTAGCTTAAAACAAGAAATAAGAATGGTGTTATATGAATCCAATCAGGCATATCACGAAAACCAGTCAATCCATACGTGATCTAATACTTTAAGGGAATAGTGTTTTGTTAGCATAGAGGAAAATGTTAAATTAGGAGAGTGTTATTTGTTATCTAGTGATTATTTGTAATCTGCATTGTTTCATCATTTTGAATTTTCAAGCAAAAATGATTTTTTATTTTTCTAAACTCAATCATTCTTAGCAGTCAAACCATGATCTTTTTGTTAGATCCCATCTAGACTTAGCCATGCACTTTTGGTTGGGTCTCTTCTAAATGTAATTAAGCCTTTGTGACTATGCTATCGTCGCTCCCATTTGGACTAATTATACCCTTGATTTAGTCGTGTGCTTTTGACAAAATCTCTCTAGCATAATAATGCTCTTGTGTTTACAAAATTCATACTGTGTACTTTAAGATTAACTTCTAACTTGATGACATGAATTAACTGAATAGGCCTAGACGAATGTCTAGCAAGCTACATAATAGCAATCCTGATCCAAATATGATTATAAGTCTAGTTAAAATAGTTCTAATTACATATAACTAAGCTATCTCATTCACTTCTTTTTATAAATATTTTTTATAATCTATGACGATGGTTCAACTACCTTAATAATTAAGTGATCTCGAGCTTTATAATCAATGATGATGGATCCATGTAACTTTGATTATAACATTTTTACCTTTTTAAAGGTTAGTTATTAGTGCTCATTGCACTTCTACGCACTTTTAATCCCATTTAAATTTAGAGATTTAATCATTCTTATCACATAGATTTTCTATATAAAGATATTTGACTCATTTGATTATGATAATTTACCATTTACTTCGTAGACTAACTCATTTCAAAGTGTGCATTATCTTATAAGAATGTTGATATTCGAATAGAAAAGGTGTACAAAATTGGCTGGTGCTGTGGTGCAAAGTCTCAGCAAATATTTTGACACAACGCTCCCTTTTACAGATCATTCTTCTCTATCCCATAGTTTTTCTTCCTGAACTTGCTAAAAAGCTCGAATTTGCATGGTAACAGTGCTGTAATACACAGTTGAAAAAAACAAAGTAGTTAATGGGATAAGAAAATATAAAATCAGAGTAAGGTCGGAGTCCAACACACACCTCTTGCCTTAGTTTCTCGTTAACACTATCATCCCCGTCAAAACTCTCTTGGATAAACACCTGTTCCGCTTTCCCAGTAGGAGAGCCTCTCTCTTTCAATAATCAATGAAAAAAGATAAGAAAAAATGTCAGCCCGACTAAAACTTGTTCAAGGTGATCAAGATCCACCAGTGAATACTTCATTACCTTCAGATAAAACCATTGAAGAGTACTGATTCCTATCCAACACCAGATCCTAGAATTTATAAGACAAGAAAAAAAAAAAAAAAACAGTGAATGGGCACAGAGAGTGACGATCATCTAATACCAAATCGATTCTTCAATCAAACCAAACAGAGATCGAAGCTATTATCCTACCCTCCTCTTCCAGGAGTAGAACTTGGATAGCACATGGCATTTTCGGCTGCCATCATCTTTGATCCTGAAGCACCCCAAGAAGCAGCCCATTTCCTCCACTGACCTCCAGAGAACCTGCAATCCACTGCCCCAGAATCATGCAAGAAAACTATAGAATCTTGAGAGGGAGAAATCGATTCATGGATGAATTAGGGTTTCTGAACTCGTTTACCTCCTCTTCTTCTCAACAAATTTGAAATTGGTACTCCAAAAAAACAAATAAAGAAATGTAGTTGAGTTAGGCAGCAACGGGAAATAAAGAAGAGATGCGAGGGGTACAAATTTAACCATATAAGTGGACCGGACCGGTTTACAACGGTTCACCATATCGCACGTGCGACGCGGTCTAATGAGCAGCGCACTTTGTGGACTTTAGCATGCGTTATATTATTTAATGCGACCATAATCATTATTAATTAGTAATTATTATTCGTATTAAATAAAAAATAAATCGTACTTCTTTATTTCATAAAAGACGGACAAAGATTTGTTTTTTAAAAGATTAATTTTAGTGCATTTACATACACACCACCACCACCTCTTTATCTAATGCACCACCTGCATTGTATTTTTTACATTTATATCCTCCAAATCTCTTACATCACATTACAATTATCATTATTTCAACTAAAATATTAAAAGCAAAATACACATTTTCACACAACAAGAATTATTAAAAACAAGAAAAACAAAATAGCCAAATTGATAAATGATGAGCATTGAAAAAACTATAGCAACATAAAATAAAATTAATTACGTGCGAATAATCCGCTCATGCACATGGATACACTGGGGGTGTACTCGGGTGTATTCAAGATAGGGTTGTAGATGAGTCGAGCTAAGGTTGTCTGTCAATTTGTGAGATTGAGCTTAGATGATGATCTTGAGCTGGGCTCGTAGTGGCAACAACCGACTTGTGAGCTCAAACTAAAAATTCAATTTTTATTTGAGCTCATCAGATAAGCAATTGATGGCAGGAAGGAGGAGATGCAACGACAGCTCATCAAAAAATATATCGAAAAAAGTAGCAGTAGTCTAATCGAGTCAACTCGCGAGTAAATGAGCCAAGCTGAGACGAGGTTGAGCTCAAGTTTGAGCTCGAGCTCGTGGCTTGATAAGCTATGCTCATGAGTTCATTAACGAGCCGAGGTCGAGCCTGCACAGACTCGGCTTATTTACACCCCTAATTTGGGGTGTACTTGGGGTATACTCCGAGGGTACATTGTACACCCCTAATTCGCACATACCTATGACCGCACATAATATTCTCCCCAATAATAGACCTATATCTCAATCACATAAGTATAATAAATATCATTTCCACATAAATTTTTCAACTTTTAAAATATCTCAGCCATATAAAATATTTAATATAACTTACTATTCTATATTATCTTCCATCTTCAGAGTATTACAATGCAAGTTTACAACCTTTCATTGTCAAGAGTCTATTTTAGGAGAGCACTGCAACAAAATATCTGATATTCTGACATCAAATGAATGAAAGCAAATAAATAAATGAGATGCAATAAAGAATAAAATAAACAGAATTTCTTTAATTATTATCACATTGTTTTTCTAATGACTTGCAGTCAAAATAATTGTGCAGAATTAAAAGAAAGATTTACATACGTATTCCTAGGGCTGTCAAAAAAGCTCGTTGTTCGCGAACAGCTCGTGTTCGGCTCGTTTATTTGTAAACGAGTCCTAAATGAGCCATATACGAACAAGTTTTTAAAGCTCGAATTGTAAACGAGCCGAACACAAACAACTCTTTGTTCGCTCATGTTTGGCTCGTTTTAGAGCTTAAATCATAACATCTCGTGTGATAATGTGATTAGTGTCTTCTTTTGTATATATTTGGTTCAGGTTCAAATCCCACACTTTACATCTATTTCTTTCAATTTAATTTTTCCGAGCCAATTTCGAGCCGAACAAGAACACAAATATTTAAATCGAGCCGAACACGAACACACTGTTCACGAGCCAATTTCGAACATGAGCCGATTTTGAACACAAGCTATTTCGAACGGGCCGAACACGAGCCAAACCTGAGCTCGCTCAAGCTCGACTCGTTTACAGCCCTACATATTCCTATGCATTTACATATCTAACGCTTAAAACTTTAATTTTTACATTCATGCCGCCTTACCCACGCATGAAAATGTGCATTTCCCTGTCTAAAAGTTAAACTAATGGTAACTTTCATGTGATATGAAACATTTGTGTGGTATTAAAATAAAAAAGTAAAGTTTAGGTGTTAGGAATGTAAATACGTATGAATTGGGCGGTATGTATGTAAATGCCTTGAAATATGAATATGCATGCTGATGGAGAAATTATAAACCAACTAGTGTTACAATCATAAGAAGATCACTGGAGGCATTCTTAACTTGCCATCAATACTTCTCCAACTCGCAACTAATACAATCTAGAACGAAGTTTAAGATGACAAAACTTGATGCTTTAAACATGTAAAAAGAATTGAGGATTTTATAAGAACATAAGAGAGATTTGCATGCATACCACATAATTTTCATGCATTTATAAATCTAACATCAAAACGCAAAAATTAAGTTAGGGTCCGTTTGGGGCAGCTTATAAGTGCGGGCGGCGTTTTCAAAACGCCGCCGTACCGTTTGGTTCGCCCGTTTGGTTCGCGCTTTTCGTCAGCTTATCCGAAACTGCGTTTGGGTTTTTACACTAAACGCAGGCCGCGGGTCAACCCCCGAGGCCAGCGGGCACAAGCTGCCCCAAACGGACCCTTATATAGCATCCAAATGTTTAATACCGCATCAAAAACATCACTTATATTATTTTTTTTAAAGTAAAACATGCATTGTCATGTATATGTTTTTGCCATAATTACGACAATGAAGTATTGTATAAAGAAATATCAAACTTTACATGTAAATACGTAAAAATTTTATGGTACACATGTAAAGCCCGCAACAAAAAAATAAACCTAAATAAATCCTAATTCACATTTATAGCCCATCCCCCCTCTTCTCAATTCTTCATTACATCTCTAGATGAGAATCCAGCTGTCTGCAATTGTGAAAGGGAAAAAAAAAATACCGGAATATAAATCCCCACAAGAGTTGTTTTATTAGAGCATAAAAAGGAAAGATTTACATGCATACCACTTAATTCTTACATATTTATATATCTAACACCTCAAGTTCAATTTTCACATATCCGCCGTCTCACCTATGCATGAAAAGATGTATTTCACCTTTTAAAATTAAAAATAGAGGTATGTTTTATCTACCATTAAAGATTTGGGTGGTATAGATATAAAAAAGCCAAATTTACATGTTAGATATGCAAATACATAGGAGTTGAGTGTTATGCTTGTAAATGCCCCGGAGAAATAATAACTTCATGAGAAATTTAACTGCACATAAGAAAAATAGAAGAAGACTCTAGCTCATACTACATACCTCTCCACAGCCTCACACACAATGCAAAAAAGCTCTTTTCCCTCAAAATTCAACTGCTCTCTCGGCTTGATGGCCAAACTATACGGCTCGACACCAAGGCCCCCTGAAGTTAAAAGCATTCCATTAAAGGCTGCTGCAGGTATAACAGCTAATAACAAGGAATCATTAAAAAAAAAACTAACAAATTGCATGAAAACACTTTATAGAAGCATAAAATTATCTTTTGCATCAAAAACGATTTTCATTTAAATGCATTTTAAGAGTATACATTTTAGGCGCGAGGGATGTAATCAAAAACAATTCTTGCAATTCTTATGTGAGGTATGAGGTAAATTTCCTATGCAAAACCTCTCTGCAACATGAGGTATGCAAATACATAAGAATTGTGTGCTAAGTATGTAAATTTCCAAAGAAATGTGAACAACTTCAGTTGTGTCCTTAAATTGAGCAACACCTTAAATTGAGCAACACAACTGCACAAATATGCAACATAAAAATTCTGACGGGTACCACTCTTACTTTACACATACAAGTTGACACCATGGTAAACATAGCCATTAACATAATTCTTATAGTTAATTGTTAGGAAGATTTGCATAAATACCACTCATTCTTATGTATTTATGCATCAAAGACACTAAAGTTTAATTTTACATATATTCCACCTTAACTATGAATGAAAATGTATATTTCACTTATTGGAAGTTAAAATAGTGGTATTTTATATGTAGTGTGAAAGATTGGGCATTATAAATGTAAAAAAAGAAAGTTAAAGGTGTTAACTTGTAAATGCATAGGAATTGGGTGGTATGTATGTAAATGCCTTCATTCAATAACTCGAAAGAAAATTAATTTACTCACTCCAAAGCAATATTGAGTTAATATCCCCACAAACATTTAAACAAGGCTGAACTTTACAGCACCAAAACAAAAAAAAAGAGCTTTCGACATGCCAATCAAAGAACAAGAAGATAGATTGAAAAGGAAATTTTGTTACCATATTTATAAAAATTTGCACTGCCAGAAAGTTTCAGTGAAGCAACAAAACACAGATCTTAGAACTTATCATCTGGTACAAAACCTCTCTGCAACATCTCATCATGCAACCTGAATGCTTCCTTCAAGTTCTCAGCAGCAACATATCCATTTATGAGAGTCGTATAAGTAAACTTATTAGGTAGAATTCCCCTAACGGCTATTTTTTTAAACAAGTAACGTGCTTCCTGAACACTACCAAGCTCACAATATCCACTGATGAGCGCATTATATGTGGAAATATCCGATTTGATCCCTTCACTTTCCATTATTTTCACCATGGAAACAGCTTCCTCCATTTTTTCTTCCTTCACAAACCCATTAACCAAAGTGATATAAGTTATTCTATTTGGAACAATATTACTGCTTTTCATCTCGATCAAAAACTCTTCAGCCTTAAACACATTACCAGAGCAACAAAAGCCTTTAATAATGGAGTTGTAAGTCACAATATTCGGCGTAATTCCTTTTTTACACATTTCATCCCGCAGCTTCAATGCCTCAACAACATCCCCCTTTGTACAATAACTATCGATTAGTATGCTATAAGTGATGGAGTTAGGCATAATTCCTCCATGAATCATACCATCCCATAACTCATAAGCTTTCTCCATGTCGCCTTCTTTGCAAAAACCATCAATTAAGGTGTTATATGTAACAACATCTGGCTTAACATGTTGACTTATCATATTATTGAACAGCTTAAAAGCTTCCTCCATCCTTCCCTCTTTGCAAAATCCACGGATAAGAGTTGTAAAAGTGTAAAAATCTGGAGTAAATCTTCTTTCCATCATCTCCATGAAAAGCTTATTAGCTTCTGAAAGCTTTCTTTCCCTGCACATTCCATTCAACATTGTGTTATATGTGACCAAATCTGGAAAACAGCCATGATTTATCATCTCATCATACAACTCTCGAGCTTTCGACATAGAACCGATCCTGCAAAATCCATTAATAAGCATTGTATAAGCAACAGTATCTGGAATCAAATCAAAAACCTTCATCTCTTCAAAATAGTGCATTGCTGAGTTCAAATCTCCCCATTTAGTAAACAAATTAATCAAATAGCTAAAGGTTAACATATCAGGAAGAAGATGTTGGTTCATAATCTCCTGATATATCCCCACTGCCTCCTGAACTTTTCCGTTTTTACATAAACATCCTAGCAGAATGTTAAATGTAGAAGTGTTTGGAACCAATCCGCTCCCAATCATCTCATGGTGTAGCTCCTTGGCATTCTCAAACTCTCCTTGTCTGCAAAATCCATTCATAATAGCATTATAAGTTGAAACATTAGGCTTCAACCCCTTACTTACCATTGAATTCAATAGTACTAATGCTTCTTCCAGATGCCCGCTGCGAGAACGAGCATCAACCAATGTGTTGTAAGTCACGAGATCTGAAAAAACTCCTTTTTTCTCCATTTCGTTCATCAGTTCATCAGCATCTTCGAATCTCCCTTCTTTGCACAGAGCATTGACTATGATGTTTAGGGTGTATGAATTCACACGGGTTCCCATTTCAACTACTTCTTCGTATAAATTCCACACCATGTGAAGCCAATCGGCTCGCACCAATCCAGCAAGAAGGCTGTTGCAGGCATTGACGGAGACTGAAATACGCCTCTCCTTCAAAACCCTAAAGGCCTCTGCGGCCTCCCTCAGTTTTCTAGCCTGGACATAGGTGCGGATTAAAAGGTCGAAAACGGAGGGGTTCGAGTTACAGCCGTGGTAAGTGGACATAAGGGCATCTATGATCTGTGACCTCGAGCTACCTCGTCGGCGAACCATTCGGAGGATAAGGGATTGAGCATCGGTGGAGCGGCGGTTTAGAACTGAGACGTGGATCATGGCGCCGAGAGACTCCGATGAGAACTTCGAGCTGGAATTTCGAGCAAGGAGATTGACAAATTCTTGGCCAAGAAGAGGGGCTCGTCTGCTGCATTTGTAGAGGACGTCGAGGATCACGGAAGGGGTTAGGTTGGTTAAGGAGTTGGGAAGGAGAGAATTTTGGGTTTTGCCGCTTTGGAGATCGGAGATGATTTGGTCGGAGATGAGTTGGTCGGAGGGGGAAGAAGAGGTGTGAGATTGGGTTGCCGATTCGCCGTGGATGGTGGCTCTCCTGAGGGTTAGCTCCTCTATAGAGCACGGGAAGTGAGGAGAGAAGCGAGAGAGTTTGGCCGCGCCAAGCAGAGGGTGCGCCATGTCCAAGCTAGAACTCTTGCCCCCATGAATCCACTTCCACACAAATTTCAGGCTCTCGCGGCCCCAAACCTTAAAGTTTTTTATTTTTTGTCGTGCATTCTTTCAGCCGCAGCAGCCGATTCGGGCTAAAGGATGAACGTGGGCTAGAGAATTTCACGTCAGCTCAAGAATTTTTTTGGGACATGATAAGTGGTATCATAGTAGATTATTGTCTGTCAGGTGTGTGGATTATTCATCAAGGAGTAATTTGCTATGATACCACTTGTCATTTTCCAAAAGAGCTCTTCGGGCTGGTGGGCAGCCCAAGACTTAAATACTATTTTTCGGTCTTACACCTAGTCGATGTGGGACTTTTTGTTCGTGACATTCTCCTCCACCCATTCACGTGACGCCCTTGTCACGGATCGGCTCCACCGAGGGTCTCACTGGACCATGGAGAGCCCACACATCTGACAAACAGTTATTTATTCTGATACCACTTGTCACCTCCTAAAAGAGCTCTTAGGGGTGGTGGGCAGCTCAGGACTTAAATAGTGATTTCCGGCCCTACATCTAGCTGATGTGAGACTTTTTTGTTCGTGACATTCTCCTCCACCCAATCACGTGACACCCTCATCACGGATCGACTCCACTGAGGATCCCACTGGACCATGGAGAGTTTACACACCTTGCAGTCAGTAATCTACTCTGATACCACTCGTCACCTCTCAAAAAAACTCTTAAGAGAGGTGAGCAGCCCAGGACTTAAATGTTATTTTTCAGCCCTACACCTAGCCAATGTGAAACTTTTTGTCTGCAACATTCTCCTCCACCCAATCACGTGGAGGAGAATGTCACGGACAAAAAGTCTCACAGGACAAAAAGTCTCTCACATCGGCTAGGTGTAAGGCCAAAAAATAGTATTTAAGTCACGGGTTGTCTACCTCTCTTGAGAATTTTTTTGGGAGGTGACACACTGCTCGAAATCGATATTTCTCCTCCCAATTTTTTCTTCATATTTTATAGTTTGAATATGATTTCTAATCGAAGTGTGGAGTTGTGATCGAAGGCCATGCCACTTCAGATCGCAAGTTGAGTTCGTTTTCTTTATTGACTGTCTTGCTCGATTTCAAGCTAGGTTTCTTCTTTTCATAATCAATATATTTTTGCATGGGTTTTAAATGAAGTACTAATTATTTACAGCTTCTAATAGAGTTTAGCATCTTGCATACGAACTTTTTGTTATATTGCCCCCACAGCCGACCGCTGTATAAAGTAGAAATTGGATCCTTCGTTAGTACCTAAAGATTTAAGAAAAAATATAATTAATTAAAATCTTCACCTATTAATATTTTGTTATAAATGTTTTTTAAGTTTTAATCAAGTTTTTTTGCGCAAAAAAAAATTTAAGAATCTATTAATATTTTGTAATAAAATTGACTAGCTCGTTTCTTTGTGTTTATGAACACATTCATTTGGTGTGAAGAAGTAGTTCAACTGAATTTTGATAAAATGCTTATTTCATTGTAATCAATTTCTTTCTTTGCTCGCATATTCTATGTTTAGGTGTATAATATCTTATGGGTATATTGGAAATATTAAGCAAATAGCCTGTTTGGTAGTTTTTGTTTGATGTGTTATTTTCTTCTCCCATGAAATTTGGTGAATGCCTCTAAAAAGATAAATTTTTAGTTGTGGTGTTTTATCTGATTTTGCACGGATGACGTTTTTCTTCTTCTTTATCTTTGTTAGGTTTTTTCTCTACTTTCTAATTGATTTTACTGTTGTGTTTCATGCTTTGTTTTGATGTTTTGATATTTCATGCTTTGTTTTGATATAGTAATAACATGGATAATAAATCTAAAGAGGTTGCTACACCTGTATTGTGAGAAAAAAAAACGAAAATAATATTTTGCGATCTCTGTGTGAAAGAGATTGAATGAAGAAATATAAATACGACCTATTTCGATAAAGAATAGTGGCAAAATATTATCAAAAATTTCAAGGAATGTACATGCAGGGAGTCTGACAGGTTGTAAATGAATAACAAGTGGGATCAACTGAACAAGAACTAAAAATTTTGGAAAGAATTAAAAAGGGGATTTACGGGTCTAGTTTGGGATCCAGTGAAGCAAACAGTTGATGCACCTGATGAATGGTGGGCTGAATGACTTGCGGTGAGTTTTTTTTGTAAATTTCGTTATTTTGTAACTATAGTTTATTCTTAATTGAGTGTTTATCAATTTTCATGTAGGTGGTGTCAGCTGCAAATAAGTTTAAGTTTTATGGAATTGAGTTTGAATTAGAGGGGAAGTTTGACCGCATGTTTGGGGGAGTGGTTGCAACGGGGAACTATGCATGCAGCCCAAGCAAGACAAGTTTCGCTGACAATGTCATGAATTTGAGAACTCGTGGAGGTTCAGTTGATTTCATTGACGTCCCCAGGCCGGAACAGAACGAATATGAAATTATTTCCCGTTTCATCTTATTTCAAAATATACCCCTCCTTACATGTAAAAAAGATTTGTGAACCCTTTATTTGAGCACAATTGTGATAAATTATAATACTTATAAAATAATTGATCATGTCAGCTAGAAAATTCACGGTATTAAAGTGATATATTATCATTTTAGTGTGATATGAAGATTCAACACGCAGTCACAAGAGATAGGATAATTAATAGTGACACTATAATTTTTAACGTGGAAAACTCAAAAAAGGATAAAACCACGAGATTTGATCGGGTTGTAAAAATTTACTATAAGTTAATGATTACAGAGACTCATGTCCTATAGGTGGGAAAGGGTTAAAAGGTCATTTGAATTACAACGTCGATGTGTTGATAAACTTGTTGCAAGGAACATGAGGAGACCGATGAGTGGTGGTTGATGGTGGTTGGTGGTGGTCAACGGTGGTCGGCAGAGGTCGATGGTAGCAGAAGGGATGTTGGACTTTTGTTTATTATTTAAGCTTTAAGTTTTTCTCTCAAGTCTCAAACTCTCTCTCCCCCTCTCATGAGAGAGGTGGACTCTATTTATAAAGTTTCATTTGCAATTAATGCAACAATATGAACAACTTTGATCAGACAGTCCAAATAGCTTAATCTGATTTGACGTCGTTTGATAGATATTTGAGAGTCTTAATGATGTTAGAATTGAACAATATTGGGCTCGTTTGATTCGTCTTGTTGAGACGTTTTATTCAATTTTAAACTCGTCAAATTCAACATTCATCTGACCTTCCGAAAAGCTTTTAAAAGTGATTTAATGACTTGATCTAAACTTGATTTGGCTTATATTGAATTGATTTTGGTACCATTGGGTCCTTCTCATCGAGCCGACTAAGTTAACTATTAGTTTGCTAAAATCAAACTTTTTTGATGACATTTAATCGAAGTTTGAACATTTTCACTCAAAATATCACCTCGATATTTGTGTCATGCATAAAAAATTGTGCTTGGTGTTGGAATTTTGGTGATAATATATCAGTTGTCTCTCTATTTTCGAGCGGGATCAATCTCATCTATATTTCCTTATTATCATATCATTCACACACACACACACACATGCATGTATTTACGTAAGTATATATATGTATGTATGTATGTATTGATATATATGTATGTATGTATGTATTGATACATATATATGTATGTATATATGAATCTAAATATGTATGTATATATGAATCTATATATGTATGTATAAAGGCGTATAAAGTTATGGTTCGGTATATGATTATGACCTGATCATATTATATATATTTGCAATAGTCAGGTGAACAGCACAGCATAGGTGGCAGTCGCGCGCGAAATATTGATTTAATAAAATTCTAATGCAGAGATTTTTTATCATCTTAGGCTTATATATACCGGCTAGACGGTGTAATTTGGAACGCAGGAAGTCATGTGGATTTCAGTTATTTTTTCATTATTTTTTTATGATGGCTGAGAGCAGTAATACGAAAAATATAAAATTATTTGGGAATACGAAATATTTGTATTCATATAAATTCCAGAAGAAAAAAAATTATGAATATCAAATTTCGATACTTCTTATTTATTTGAAATGAAGAAGGTGGAAGACCCGTAAGGCAAAGATCGGAAAGCTGAAGCCGAAAGTTGGAAGTACAAGAGAATTAATGTAGATATTATTTTTTTTAATTGCTTTTGTCATTAATATGACCATTTTTTAAGCCTATAAATATTCAAGAACTAGAAAGTGGAAGTAGAGTCATCGACTTTGTCTACCAAGTGATTTCATATTTCCCATAAGAAGAAGGTCGTCTCTGATTTGTATAGGAGGCGAACAACGGGATCATCTTTTGCGTTGTAGCACATAAGAAAGTCATCTCTATCTTACGTGGCATGCGATCAATGAGATCCTCTTATATGTTGCGGTGCAGAAGAAAGTCGTTCTCAATCTGTATAACAAATGATCATTGAGATTATTTTTTGCGTTGTGACGCAAAAAAAAAATCGTCATTATCATGCGTAGCAGATCAATGAGATCCTCTTTCATGTAGTTGTTCATATCCTGTGTTGCAAGCGAGCAACTAGATCTTTTTTCGCATTGCGATGTAGGAGAAAGTCATCCTCGTCCAGCGCAGTAGGATAGTAATGAAATTTTCTTTCCCATTGAATTGTAGAAGAAAGTGGGCACCATCCTGCTTAGTGAACGAGTCACAAAACAAAATTTTCTTAAATTTTTTATTTGCTGAACTCAAATACCAAATATTATAACTTTAGTATTCCTATAAGACATTTGGGAAGCAAGTTTTGTGGGGAAGTGCTAAGTGGTATGAGAAGGAGAATAGGGGTGATTGATGGTGCTTGAACGGCGATAAACGTTGTTTGACGACTGTTCTCTGCTAAAAACAATAAAGAGAACTTTGAAACGACTAGAAGCTCACCCTACTTGTTCCTGCACAAACTACAGACACACTAATTGCAAAAAAAAAGATGATACAACTCCCTTTAGGGTAAAAAAAGATATGACGACATCTAAATACTAAAAAAAATCCCCCAAAAATAAAAGAAACACATATAAATATTCTCATACTAAAAGGAAATCGGGATCATAATAAAAAAAATATAAAAGAAATAAAAAATACGAAAGAAAAGGGCAAAAATCAGAAATGAGACAATCAAGGCATCAATTTCACAGTCATATAACTAGTATGATCTCATAAAACTACTTATCCATCAATATCTTGACACTTCCACAATCAATTAAGATTATGCTAAAACAACTCTCACATCAATTATTTGCTTATATCAATATTTTTTCTAGCTACCATGATGGCCATATTTATTAATTCGTGCCTCATAGTTTTTCTCCTTTAAATTAATATTTACACAATAAAAATGAAGTCTTCTATAAGTAAATGATGCACTTTCTTCCTATGTAAATACCAATGTTCCTAAAAAAAAAATATGCATTTGCAATTGACATGCATAACTCTTAAATTCCCATAAAATTATAATTTAAGCTTTAATAAGATAATAAATATACAAAACAAAAAATATCAAGGACTTCTTCTTACCTTAATATCTCTAAATACAAAATGACCTTCTTGCTCATGTATTTTCTTTGTGACTGCAAGCGCCAACAATGAAGTCGCCTTTCAAGACTTATTTTAGTCACAAGCAAATTATTTAAATTGAACAAACATTCAATATGACCCCTCATAACTCGAGTTTTAGTTAATTGGCCAATCATAATGTTAGTTTTAATTGATACTAAAGGCTATAATAATTCAATAATAATGATAATTGATAGTTCACACTAACTATTAGAAAAATAACTCCATAAAGCTTTTTAATTATAATATATGTTAAGTAAACTCATTTTGTTAAAGCATTTTTGTTGCCAATTTAACAAATGAAAATCTTGTGTAAATATGAAAGTTTAGTGGTGAGATATGTAAATACATAAAAATTGTAATAATTATAAAGCATCTTTATTGCCAATCTAATGAAATAAGATTTTAATTACAATTTAGTCATTACAAATGATAAATCAACATGACATTTAGATATCTAGCATCAAAATCAAATCTTTTACATCACATAAAAAATATCACAATATATATTTTTAAAGAGTGAAAAATAACTTTTTTCAACATAAGTGTTATGTCATTTACTTAAAAGACAAAGTTTGCATGTTAGACGCAAAAATTACTTAAAAAAAAAAGTATAAATACGCAAATCTTCCAATTTTAAATCTTCATTTATATTTTAAAATCTACCTATATTAAAACCTTGTTCAAAATATTCCTGGCCAATTGTTTTCCAAATCACGTAGGAAATATAGGCCGAATAAATATATCTATTAAAGTGTATTGCCTAATTTTGGCATTAGAGTTACCTTTTATCCTTTATAGCCCAAAATATTACTATTCAAGAGTCATTGTCTACTCTATATAAAAGCTTGAAGTAAAAGAGCCGAATTTGAGTAAGTTCCGATTCTGCTAATATTCTCATTTAAAGCCGGCTAGTGTTTGAAATTAGATTGTATTCAAAATTATTCATGAAAATTGCGTTCTTGTACGGCTCGATTTACATAATATTGTTTGTGTTCGACTTATATTTGACTTGTTTAAATTAATTAAGAAATTCGACTTGTATTCGGCTCATTTGATTAATTTAAAAAGCAGATGTAGTGTATTAGATTGGAATCGACTCCACTTCAGTGCAACAGAAGACACATGAATTGTTATGATTTAAACTTAGATATAAATTTATATAATATGTTATTATAGTCTCTCTCTCTCTATATATATATTTATTTCAAGTTAAAATGAAATGGATATAATGGAATAAAAGATTATTTATATTGAGTTAGTTTATAATTCAAGCCTAAGAAATTCATACGTGTTTGACTACTTTAGTTAATAGCAATTCAAATATGAGTGACATAAATCTATTAAATAAATTAAAAGAAAATCATTCCCATTCTATCCTCCATGCATGTCTACTGTTCGCCGGACACCTCCTGCCGTTCTCTTCTCCGACGATCGTCAGTGGTTGCAGCAATTGGTCTTCTGCCATTGACAAGGTTCTTCAACTTCCTGCTACTTTTCTCTAATCATTTAATGAATTTTATGAATAAAAAATATTGATATAAATAAATTTTTTGTCAAAATTTTTGCTGCCCTTCTCAAATCTAATATAACATAAAAAGACTTGAACGATCGAGAGAAAATCATTTTTTTGAATTTTATAAATAGTATTTACAAAATGAAAAAAATAAAAAATAAGCTTAAAAATATAATTTTTTAGAAGATTCTGAGAAAAGGAATATTAAAAAAATAAATGATCGCTATAATATAAAATATATACTTTTTATCTTTATCCTTACGAGTCCAAACTATTAATAGGAGTCAACTCTCTGCTCTATATAAAGGCTTGAAGTACCATTGCCACGGCGAAAACCCTAAAACGTGACAGAAATCTGAAAAAATCGATCCCTGTCTACTATCTACATTCCCTCCGCCTGGTTCCGTCTGCCTGACGCCTCTTACCGTTCTCTTGTGCGGCGATCGATTGTGGTGGCAGCAATCGGTCTTTTGCGATTTGCAAGGTTGGTCCTTCTTCCTCCTGCTCGTTCTCAATATGTGTGTCAATGGGTGCATGCGGGGACTGGGGAGATTTATGATGGTTTTATTGCTTTCACGTTGTGTTAATACCGGAAGGAAGCCAATGTATGAAGTGATATGGATGAAACTTTAAGGGTTGTGAAATTTTTTTGGGTGATGGTTATCTGGCATGATTTTGGTTGTTCCCTGAGTTTGATAGCTTCATCGCGGGCTATGGTGGAGACAAAACATCGAGGAGTATATGGTACAGCGTGATTCAACTCCTTTTTATAGGAGGAATGAAGTGTCTCTTAGTGAAGTCCTTTTCTTAAAGCTAAACTTGTTTTTCCCCTATGTCCGCACCTTTGACGGGGGTGGAGACATGAGGACATTGTTGAAACTTGAAAATGCATGGGAAGAGTTGGCAAGGGAGTTCAATCGTGGGAATTTATCGTAAAAAATATCTGTTATTCATTTTTGGTTCTAATAAGAAGTAGTTACTGTGTTACATATGTTTTGTTTTTTTCCCTGTTTTATTCCATGTCTTTCTATATTTTAAGATTTCGATAATTTTTTTGACTTTTTTTTAATAATTCCATTCAGGGATAATACAATAATAATATCAAGTGAATAGCCTATCCTTGCTTTGTTGAACTGTGATTTGTCCCAAATTAGCTGATATTTTATTACTGTTTATTGGCGTTTGAATGTTTTCTATTGCTTGACCTTCTCAACGAGGCACAACTGATCCTAAGACCCTCAGAATGATTAGCCTTTCTCTTTCCATACCATTAGTTTGATGTTTTATATAGGTAAATGAATTTGATTACATTCTTTAAGTGACATTTAACTATCTTATTGAATGTAGAAGGGAGCATCGGCGTGACTGTTTCCTATAGTGATTGACAGTAATTTTAGCTAAAGAGGAAAGTGATTTTTTGTAATAGAAGATGGTAGCAGATGCTACAGTAGTAGAGGTGGATGCTCTGACGGTGGCATTGATACCAACAAAGAGGCAAATGAAATATGTTTTGGTGACCGGTGGAGTTGTGAGTGGTTTAGGGAAGGGTGTGACAGCGAGCAGCATTGGTGTTGTACTCAAAGCTTGTGGCCTTCGCGTTACCTCAATTAAAATAGGTATTACATTGCATACTCTTACTCTTGTGTAGACATCATGTTGTTATATTATTCTAATTTATTATCCTTTCTTATTTATTAGGATTATGGTGGTTATTGTTTTAGGGTTTTTTAGAATTTTTGTTGGTAGCGTAGAAATGTTCTGTAGATGATGTTATGAACATTTTGATGTATTGGCAGATTTAAGTGTGGGCTAGAGGGACATGTAATCCCCTTTTATATTTATAAATGTTATAAATGAACTTATTTTTTCTTATTTACATTTATCGTTTAAGTTTGCATGAAGGGATGCCAAAATTGATCTGGCACACCAACTCGACTTGAACCCAAATTGAAAAATGTGGGTTCGAGTGACCAGCCATATCGAAATTGACTCGTTAACCTGAACTTGCCTCGAAATAAACCCAAATGTGACCTAATTAATTATCATGTATATATTAAATTTGGGTCTTGCTCGGGTTAGTTGGGTTGAAGGCGGTCTGGTCAATTTCGGGTCAAATCCGATTCCGACTCGCGAAACTGATTTAACACCCCTTCATGCATCTATTTTTTTTTCTCTCCTCATAATAAATAGTTGAAATTAATTTATTTTCTTAAGTTTATTTATATGAAGAGTAATCAAAATAAAAAAGTGTATGTTTATAACTTGAATTATAAAATTATAATAAAAAATAAGGGTATTTTTTAAATATTTAGATTGTATCCTCTCAAGAAAAATTTGGACCTTGCCCGTATTTTGATTTTTGATGGTTCTTTTACACGTGTTAAGGGTTGGAAGGGTTTGGTTTATTTATTTTTTTTCCCTTAAGTTTTACATTCTTTATTTTTCTCACAGTTTTTATGCATTATTTATAGTTAATACATTGTTCATTCGATCTACACTTCATTTGGTTCAACTTTAATTTGCTATGTGGAAGGAAATTCAACCAGAAAAGGGTGGGATGCTATTTGGATGCAAGAATTGAACTTTGTTCTAACTAAAAAAAGAGGGAAACCCTAAGCTATGTTGAAGAAAGCCGTACTCCAACCTCATCTTATACATTTTTGTGTAGTTTGAGGTTTTTTTTAGCTAACAAATGAAGTCATAGGTTTTTGGTTCTATTTTATTCTTATTTAGCTAAGTGGGACTTTAAGTCAAGTTTCCTTGGATATTTTGGTTTGATAATCGATGAAAATGCTAGTTATTTTAGGGCCTTTAGACATAAAATAGTTAGTTGGATTTAGAATATGAGTGGTTGATGCATAGTATGTATCACAATACTCACAAAATTATTTTGTTCAAGATAGAAATTATTGCCGAGAGTTTGAGTAAAAAAGAAAAAAAAAAGAATAATTTCATAAATTGTTTGTGTTAAGGTAATTATTGTTTGGAAACTTATCAAATGTTAGGCAAGTGTCTCAGTTCATATTAAGGTTCTTGAAAGTCCATGGTAGGGAGACATGATTGTAGGCTCAAGTATAGCACATGCAAAACTATACTGGAAAGTAACAACATGATAATTGAAGACACGTAGTAAGATGAATAAATCTTTAAAAATAATTTAATAATTACTATTTTGCATTGCTTGTATAAACTTTTGAAAAGGGAAACATATCTCAGTAGGAATCATCAACCTCTAACCACTCGGGCCAACAACAAGCTTAGAAATATTCTTATTAAAAAAACATGTTCAACTAAATAATTGCAGTCCAAACAAAAATAGAATGATAGGTTTTTGACTCGTTAAGCTTGAATATCATTCCTAAGGCATGTTATACCATCCACATGAATGAACCATTTACATTACAATATTATATATACACTGTCACAAAACTTTGCTAGCTTGCTTCATTGTTAAAAGGTTTCTGACGCAGGAGCTTTCTGCCCGCAGTATTTTAGCAGTTATAGTACCGCAATAGCGTTACTGTAGCTACTACAGTAAACACGTTCTCCCTTTCTTATTTCATTTCCATTCCATTTATGATGCTTTCTCATTATAATTCTTTTCCGTCTCTACTTTATTCCAATTCCTCTTCTTGCCTATTTTATCTCTTTCCTATCCCACTGTACCTATTTTATCTACTAATCCCCTCTTTAAATAGGTGATATTTTCTGAGGTTAGACGATGAGGTTTTTGGATACTTGTTGATTTCAGCTACTCACTTTAAGGCGTTTTTTTCTTTCTGGGGGCTGTATCAGACGACAAAAAGGTGCTCCAGCTGTAACACGTTCGAGGTGGTGACGGTCTCCAAGGGTCCGGGAGGTGCTCCGGCTGTAGCTCGACCCTAACGAGACATTTATCCTTTCGAAGCTCCCTCCGACCCCGCTTCCAACAGCCGCAAACCACTCGGCATTGCTGCCATCTTCATTCCTTGTTGATGTTTGACGCTTCCTGCAGCTGCTAGCCGCGCCGACACCCTAGTTCTCTCTCCCTACTGTTGCTAATATTCCTGCCTGCTACCTTCATTCTTATTGGAGTCTATGTATAATGTCTTTATGTTTGTTGTTATGATTTCATGTTGCAAGAGTCTCATTGGTATCCTTTTAAAATCAGTAATAATAATTGTGTTTTTTCGTGGTGGATTAGATCTTTTTCCTCCTATATAAGTTCCTTAATAGTAATAATCAATTATCGTTCAATAGGATGCTAAAAATCATAGGTAGCCATCAACATGAGATTAGTAAATGGTTTGCACATTAAAGCTTGCCATTTTGTATTCAAACTTTGGAGTGGTGTTTGCACCTTCATGAAATGAGAAGTTGGAATTCATATACTTGAACTTTTTAGTGGAAGTTTATTTTATAGTGAAAATAGATTATGAATTATTTGGTATATGTGTTGAGTTATCCCCTTAACTTAAAGAGTTAACAAATAGATTAAAGGGAAACACAGAGAAAGTCAAATGAATCTATTGTCCTCTTAGCCCCTATTGAGGTTAGTAGAAAAATAGTTTAGAAAGAAAAATATATGGGTGCTTGGAGCCTAGAGATCTTTTAGTTTCAGCATTAAAAGCTTGGCTTAATAGAAAATCAATGCCCAAAGAGGCAATTTGATGCTGTTGTGGATAATTGTGTGGATTTGCTTGAATTCGACACATTGATTATACAAACTTTTTTTGATGAACATCATTTGGAGTTTAACTTTTTATCATATGTTGTGTAATTGTAATGTGGATGTATAATTTGAATACCTTTAGTCATACATTTGTGTGCGATTTGTATTAGACAGTTATTCTCTTACTAAACTATTTACCACTTTTTGAACTGCCGATAGGTTATGACTCATGCAAGTGATTATGATTTGAGAATTATATAGAAAGGTTCAGGAGGAATCAAAAGTCTGTTATGCCTTGTAGATGGATTTGATATGTGGTTCTGGTTTAGAAACCAGCAAGGAGGTGTTGAATTGTGCGACATATTGAATGATCACTGAATGAGTAATGACAACAGGGAATCCAAGCGGCAAGAATTAAGGCACAATGTAGTTTGTAATTCGGATAGAAATGTACCCATTTAGATGACATTGAAAGTCATAATTAGGTAAACATAATGATGAAATCAATGAGTGGTTGTTCCTTAATACTAATTGGTAGAGGAGGGTAGCAATAATAGATGAATTGTATGTTAGGATAAAGGATCCTGAAGGAGCATGAAAGGAAGGACGATATGTGGATAACTAGATCTTTAATTCACCATCAACCCCCATTTTTATTGATTATTTTTGTGCACCTTAATGCTGATTTTAGTAGTTGGGATAAGAACAATTGTAAAAATTTATTCTAATTTGAAGATTCACTTGCAGAATAAAAATAAGGAAAATTACAATGTAGGAGTGGTTGCTTTCTTTTTAAGGAAATAACCATCCCATAAATTATATTGAAAAATTCGTGAACCTTGTGATTACCATATATCTTCTTTATCAAAATTTACATGGAGGCATTTGGCAAGTTTTTTTTTTTTGCTAGTTTAATAATAGAGTGGAAAATTGTACATTCACAGTTACTTGTTATTCTCCATGTTAGACATTTTCGTGGAATGGACATAAATATAGAGAAATTACCATCGGTTTTCATTATATACTAAAATTACGCCTAATATAGGTGTCTTTTATGCTTTTCAACAAACCATTAGAAGATGACCATTTCTGTTTGTTCCAATCCTATTACATAATTTTCTCACATAACTGATTCCGTTATTCTTCCTAGAAATTCTCTAATGGAGCTAAATGAGTACATGGGTTTCTCCCAAAATGGATGTGATTAAACCCCTCTAATTAAGCTATCAGTGTAGAATATTGACGCCTTTGTTACTAGTGGGCTGGCTTGTGACTTTTGAGTGTTTCTTGACCTCTGTGGCATAATATTAGCTTGTACAAATCCAATTCAAAGTACCGAAGGGGTATAGCCTTGGGACTTATTTTACCTGCGTTAGCTTTCTGGTCTTAAATTACATAATGCTATAATGATTCTTAATTCTATCTTTCAAGTTCAACTGGCATAAACTTTGCTCTTTTTTTTTTTTTTTTGGTTGACAAACACTTTTGGTGAACTCAGAAGTCATAGCCTTTGTCTTTTCTGAACTGGACTTTCTCAAAAGTGCTTTTTTTTATATTTTGTTTTTCTTGTGATTTTCTCGTTGGTAAATTTTGGTTCTGCTTAAATTTATCTGACAGAAACTTGTGTGCCATTGCAGACCCCTACTTGAACACAGATGCAGGGACCATGTCTCCTTTTGAACATGGGGAGGTTTTTGTTCTTGATGATGGCGGAGAGGTGGTCATGCGCCTGTTTTATAATGTCATTAAAGCAAAATTTCTTCATTCAATTTTCTTTTATCTCTTGTTTATTTAAATTAGGTGTTTAAAGTCTTATATGCTGTATTTATACAATTTAAAGGTTGACTTGGACTTGGGAAACTATGAACGGTTCTTGGATATTACTCTTACCAAGGAAAACAACATCACTACAGGGAAGATATATCAGGCAAGCGAAGTTTATTAAATCAGCCCTTTTGAGAACCTACAATTTTATGCTTAATTAAACTGTAGTAGCTTTCTATCTTGTTTTAGTCTGTTATCAACAAGGAGAGAAGAGGTGACTATCTTGGAAAGACAGTTCAGGTTGTTTTCATTAGGCACTTCTTCACTCAAACAAATATTCATAAAAAATTATTAGTATCTATGATTTACTGTGGTTACTTTGTTTGTAGGTTGTGCCTCACATAACTGATGCCATAAAGAATTGGATTGAGTCAGTCTCCTCTATTCCGGTTGATGGAAAAGATGGTCCTGCTGATATCTGTGTAATAGAGTTGGGTGGAACTGTAGGTAGGATTTATAGACTCGTAATCATTAACCATGTCAATTAATATGATTCCGCAGAATTTAAAAATATTCTTGGTTTTACTTATTTTTTTGTCTCTTCATTAAGGTGACATTGAATCAATGCCCTTTATTGAAGCTCTGCGCCAGTTGTCATTTTCTCTTGGTAAGTCAAGTAGATAGTTATGCTAAAGTTCTTCTAATAGTTGTTCTGAAATTGTGCTTTGTCTACTTATTTCTTTTTAAAATTGAAGTAAAAATGGATCCTATACTATAAATTAGGTTGTTATTTTTTTTTCTATGTGCATGGTCTTGGAAGAAATTATGTTGACATGTTTTTGTTTATTTCAGACTATTGTTTCGGTGTCTTCTATTTGTTTCTGCATTTTTTTATGCTAGAACTTAAAAACTTTCGAGTATTTTAATAGGGTTTTTTTTACTTCAATAATTTCTAGCTATACTTGTCGACCGATGCTTTCTTTAGTATTCTTACCCTGAGGTTTCTCCAATGGATCATATTATAGCAAACAATGATATTTATTCAAGAATTATTGCTCTTGTTGATTTATTGTGATCTTATCACATCACCATTTGAAAAATTATAAGCTCAAACTTAATTGGTTAATGGTTAGTGAGAAGGCAAAGTTCATAAATTTTAAATTTTCATATTTTCGGCAAAGCTTCCAAATAGAATTGTAACAAATTAAAGTCATGTAATAAAATAAATTACAGCAGCGCCATATAATGATGAGGGATTTGTGCATTCTTGTAGTTCATTGACATTGATATATAGTAACCGGGTGAATGATTGATTACATTACCCCTCAAATAATGTAATTATGATATTTTTTCCATTATTTTTTCCATTACCCCTCAAATAATGTAACGAAGTAAGATCAATTAAGATCAATTGGCATACTCCTTCCCTTAATTGATCTTACTTTTTTAATGGTTAAGTGGTGCCCGGAGAATGTGTTCCTGCAAGGAGGGGTCAATGTTTTTTGCTGGTTAGGGTTAGATCGTGATGAGAGCTTGACAACTACGTTTGGGTAAAAAATGTTGGTGTTGGATGTTACCTAGATGAGGATGGAGCGAGGAAACTATATATTTTCTTCTGCCTTTTTGGTGATCCAAGACAATGACCATACAGATGGCTTCTCTTTCGACCATATTGGACAACATTTAAACATAAATAAATTGCTACATAAATATTTGATAGCCTTAATAGACAAGTGAAACTTTCCATGAATGCTTCCAAGTTTAAAATATTTCAAAATTTAAAATACTAATTGTGGAGCAGTCAAATGTCATGACTGAAAAAAAAAAGGAAAAAGAAAAAGAAAACCCTGGAGGCTGGGGTGTGGACCGTGTGGTGGCTGGACAGAAGAATCATAACTCATTAGCTTTTGTGTCTTGAATATAAGTCCTATACATTCCTTCATGCTGAATGTCAATCTTTTTTCATTTCATGCTGAATGTCAATCTGTGTGTGTGTGTGTGTGTGTGTGTGTGTGAAATAGAGTTATTGTAATATTCGACTGCTAATACTTCTAATTGCTACCAGGTGATGAAAATTTCTGCCTTGTTCATGTGAGCCTCGTACCGGTGCTTAGTGTTGTTGGTGAGCAGGTGATTCCCGCATGATTCCCGCATTTTGCTCTTTTATATTTGCAGAAATATTCCTTTGAGTATAAGCATGCTATTTTCTCTTTTAATTTTTCATAATAACCTATCACTCGGGGTGTTTTTCTTTTTTAAATGAGCCTTTTGAAGATTGTAATTATTTTGGCATGTTTCTACTTAATTTCTCATATCAGAGGTTCTATTTATGGATGACGCTCATGTTGAACTTGCTCTAATAAATTCGTCTTATTTATAGAAAACAAAGCCAACACAGCATAGTGTTCGTGAATTAAGAGCATTGGGCCTAACACCTGACCTATTAGCATGTCGTTCTGCCCAAGTAAGCTTGAATTGTTATTCACATAGCTTTGGATATTAAATGGCTAGCATTGTGCACTATTTTGATTTTATTTCTTCTCTTCGTTTAGAATGTTAACCTTTGTTTAATCTTGATATGCATTTTTCCTGTATTGCACAGCATTATTTTCACAGATCTATTCAACTTGTAGTTATATATATATATATATA